TGCAAACATATGGTACGGGCCTGATTCTTACATGGGTGCAAATATTAGAGAATTACTCCAGCAGATGACTAAGATGACTGATGAAGAAATTGCTGAGATACATTCAGAACATAATAGAGACTCAATCAGATCTTTGCTACCTCGCCTGCATTATTTTCAGGTATGTGTATTTTCATGTACTGTCTAGAGTTATTCATAATTCCTTTCAATTGGAGATAAGGATAGCATAACAATTTTTATTCCTTTAGTTTTCTTTGCATTTTCTGATTTTGGTCGTCATACTGCTTATTTATTGATGATTATGCAAATTTCTGGCATCAGGATGGGACATGCATAGTACATCATTTATTTGGAAATGAAGTTGTGGACAGGATAAAAGAAATGTACTGTGATGCATATCTAACTGCTCATTTCGAGGTCCCTGGAGAAATGTTTTCTTTGGCAATGGAAGCAAAGAGAAGAGGAATGGGGGTTGTGGGCTCTACCCAGAACATACTAGATTTCATAAAACAGAGGATTCAGGAGGCTTTGGATAGAAATGTCAATGAACACCTTCAGTTTGTGTTAGGAACGGAATCTGGAATGGTGACTTCAATTGTCGCAGCAGTTCGTGGTTTGTTAGGTTCTGCAAGGTCTGGGGGAGCAGAGATTAATGTAGAAATTGTATTTCCAGTTTCATCTGAATCGGTGACAACATCATCAAATGCCTCCCCAGGCCTTAACTCTGTTAAAGTGGGCGATGTCATACTTCCTGTTATACCTGGAGTTGCCAGTGGGGAGGGATGCTCCATTAACGGCGGCTGTGCATCCTGTCCATACATGAAGGTTAGTGGCCTTTTTCATGATTGGATTTGATAAGTTCACGGAGATAACTAGACTTTTATGAAAATAACCAGTCTATGCATGTTTCAGTATTTTTCTGCATGCATGTATGTTAAATTGGTTGTAGTATCTGCAGACTGTAATACATCTCAAACTAACACCTGGCCTAGCGTAGCATTCAGGTCCCGCATAACAGGGACATTTCTACACATGATCTATCTTTCTTGTGATACATGATTTGTATGTCGTAGAGTGACGCGACCATGAAAATGGATGAGAAAATTCTGGAAGATATCGCCTAAGTATTCTATTAGTAATATTGGTAGGATGTTCTATAAAAAGTACCTCTCATCTTTAGTTTAACCCTCAAAGTTTGCAAGAATAGCTAATGCCAGACGTCCTTGGGTTTTCTGATGTAACAGTTGGTCTTGGCAAGCCTTAGTAGAAGTTGAATAAATAGAAGTTGATGATTAGTTTATTGTTCATTTTCCCTGAAGTTATATTTTCCTCTCACATGTGTTTGACTGAGCTAAGGTTTCTCACATAGTATGTAATGTAAAATGCCAGATGAATTCGCTCAGCTCCCTCCTGAAAGTTTGCCACCACCTGCCTGATGAGACGAATTTTGCTCTTTCCACATATGAAGCTGGCCGATTCAAACTGCAAACCCCCAATGGAAAATCAGTTGCAGATGTTGGGTGCGAACCGATTTTGCACATGAGGCACTTCCAGGTTAGTTACTGAGAAGAGTAAATTATCTGTATACACAATAAGCTTCTTGAGTTTTTAGACTCACCTCTTTGCGGATATCTTTTGCAGGCCTCTAAAAAACTGCCAGAGAAGCTTATTTCCCATATTCTTCATCCGTCTGGTAATGGGAGCTCATCAGTATTAAATTGAGTTAAGCTTAGCCACATGAAATCAGTCTGGATTAGCAAGCAGATTCTGAATCCTGAGGAAGGCTTCCTTGAAGCAAAGCTTTCATTGCCAGAACTTTGTTGTGCCTTTTCTTCAATTTCTTTTTCATATACGGGTCGTGCGGTTTATCTAGTTTGATTGCTCACAGCATAGTTCAGTGTTTAGATCTATAGGAATGAAAGTTATAATAAAATTGTAACCCCAAAAAGAAAAAGTTATAATAACAGTGATTGTTATATTTAAACTGTATAGTTGTCAGAACAGTGACATTCTTGATTGATTGACATAGAATTTAGATTCCCCTGGTCCGGAGCAATGCTAGGCAGCTAACAATTGTCACCTATGATATTCGAATTCAGGACGTTCTCCACTAAATTAGTGAGCCACATTAAAGAATCTAATAAGCAAAAAAACAGTGAATAATCACTGATACAAGACCTCACCAACGAACAACCAATTCAAATAAGAATTGGAATTGGTTTATTTTATTTTGTTTTTTATTTAATTTTTACTGTTGGAAATAATTGGTTATTTTATTGGCAAAATTACCTGATCACTCTTGGATTTTGGCTCACAAGAACAAGAGCAGTGAATTTTGGCGCTCATATTTACCCCACGTCTCTCAACAACCAAACCACAGTTTGGAAATGGCAATCTGGTAATTCTGCCACCAAATGAAGCCTGTAAAGAAAACTAATTATTGGGTTGGGTCTTTATATATATAATTTTGATCAACACTATTATTTTAATAAATTAAAAAAAAAAACAATTCCCGTTGAATATTTAATTGAGTGTGAAGAGGAAATAGTGGGGTGCACATTGCGTAAGGCAACCAAACCGAAATTCGATTCCCTTTGGAACTCAACTCCCTCCTCTGGTTGAAGACGGTGTCGTACTGGGTTGTCGTTTATATTACGATAATCGCTTCCTCGTCTCGTCCCAGAAGATAGCCCCCAGTTTCTCTCACTGCAAAAACTCCCACCTGGTACGTTCATCTTCATTATTTTAATTTTTTTATAAAGATTTTCGGTTCTAATTACAAAACCCATTGTTCCAGTTCTTAATGCAATCCAAAATCTCTTCTGGGATCTATGCAATTACAGTTGATTTATTTTTTACCCAATTACTCTTTTTTTTTCTTTCCCAGAATTGAGGATTGGTTTGTTTCGGGTTGTAGTTGTTGACAATGTGTATGTTAATTCGGGCTTGAATTATGCTTGGTTTGTTCTGAAGCTATGAACTTTGTCATGGGAACATTCAAATTCTGGAAATTTAACAACCCAGAACGTGGATTTTGCATTTGAAACAAAAACTGAGGTTAAATGTAGTAAGGTTGTACTCGTATGCTTGATTTTTGGAGAGAGAAAATCTGGTTTCCATAGTCTGGTAGAATTCTAATTGTAATTCAGTATGTTATTGGTCTTTTAATGTTCAAAGTTACTAACTTGCAACTTACAAATTCGAGAAGGGAACACCATGGTCTTATTGGAAAATTGTTTGATGAATTTCTTTTGAGCGAGTCTGTATGCAACTAAACGGCCCCGAAAATTGTTTCTATATATGTACGAGAATTTTTCAGATCCATTCTTTGGACTTAAAACTTGCCTGGTAGATGTTTCCCTTTATACATTGCTTCTGCTGGTGATTGTGGTTCCACCTTTAGCAGAGTGAGGAACCGTAAAATGAATTGAATGAATGATTGTTGATGCTGGATTTAGTCTCATCAGTGGCAGGATAGCAGCTAATCTAAGTGTTGTATTTTGACTGCACTTCAAAAGTACTCATACTGCAATGAAATTGAACGATTTTTTATTATTCTGTCTCACAGGATTCTGCTTCACCTGCAAGCTACATGATGGGATCCACAAATGGCTTAGCCAGTGCACAGGGGAAGCAACCTCTATTTTCGTTTGGGGTGATATCTGACGTCCAGTATGCTGATATTCCTGATGGCCGTTCTTTCCTTGGCGTTCCACGATATTATAGGCATAGCATTGTTGTACTGCAAAGGGCTGTCAAAAGATGGAATGATCAGAAGAAGCATAAATTTGTGATCAATTTTGGGGATATTGTTGATGGACTTTGCCCAAAAGACCAATCCCTGGATGCTGTAAGAAGAGTTGCTGACAAATTTGAGGATTTTAATGGTCCTGTCTATCATATGCTTGGTAATCACTGCCTCTATAATCTTCCCCGCACCAAATTACTTCCGTTGTTGAAGATTCCAAGTGTTGATGGTCGTGCATACTATGACTTTTCACCAACACCAGAATTCAGATTCGTTGTTTTGGATGGCTATGATATCAGTGCCTTTGGTTGGCCTCAAGAACATCCAAATACAATAGAGGCTTTGAAATTCCTTGAGGAGAGGAATCCAAATACAGACAAGAACAGTCCAGCTGGCCTTGTAGGCCTCGAGAGAAGGTTCCTTATGTTCAATGGAGCAGTTGGAAAGGAACAATTGGAATGGTTAGACGACGTCCTTAAGGAAGCAACAAAGTTGAAACAGAAAGTAGTGATTTGTTGCCATCTGCCTTTAGATCCTGGGGCATCATCCAAAGAAGCACTTTTGTGGAACTATGACGAAGTCATGAGTGTTGTACACCAGTATGATTGCGTGAAAGTTTGCCTTGCCGGGCATGATCACAGAGGCGGCCACTCTGTTGATTCCCATGGAATCCACCATAGAGCTCTTGAAGCTGCCCTTGAGTGCCCTCCTGGGACAGATGCATATGGATATATCGACGTTTATGATGATAAGCTTGAACTTACTGGTACTGACCGAATGAAGAGCACTGACATGGGATACAATCCTCAAGCAGACTTACAAGATAACTGGCATCAAGAAGTTCGTTAACAAATTCTTTTGAATTTGGTGTATGTTATTTGGAGATGTGTGATTATGCATAAGTCTTGAAAGGGCTTGGCTCGAAATAGTTCCCTGCATATATATTGGGGAGACCAGAAACTTCTCATGTTTTGTACTCCCATGAGAACGATATATACAAAATAACTCAGAGTGCTATTATATTCTTCCTTTTGGTGTTAATATTGACTCTAAAAATTTGCTACTTTTGCGAAACGGGGTCTAGTAGCCCAGTGAAAAATAGCATTGACTTGCAGATTAATGATTTCAGATTCAAACTTATGGCACTTTGGTAGTGTGTGTGATAACTCCAATTTGCGTACCGGTTCAGGAAAGTACTTTGGTTTCTGCTTCTCATCTGTCTGCACCATTAACATTCACTAAACATTGCATATCAACTTTTACAAAATGCTATTATTATAGATTTTTCTCTTTTCTTTTCCCACATAGACAATGCTTCCAATTTTCTGAAAACCAATTTCACCCTACCCATGTAACCCTTTCCACATTGCCAATTTGTCATTTCTACCTTTCAAACCACATTAAGCCCCACCATTTTATTACCTCTCAGTATTATATAAAACAGTACGATGAAAATAAAATACCAAAAACTAAATCATGCAAACTACTACACTCTTTTTTTTAACTTTTTCGTTTGGTCAACGCAAGGAAACTACTAAAGTCTGAGATTGACAGTTCATATTTTTCCTTCACTTATCGTGGGACGACTTTGCCTTTCTCTTCTCAGCAATAAAGAAACCAGCCAAGGACAAAACCGAGAAAGCACTGAAGCAAATGGACGCAATATCAAGGGACGCGTGGCGTCCAGTGATTCCCTGGACCACAAACAAGTTGGTTGCCTTGTGAGCGTTTGTGGTTTGACCGTAAGCCACCTCAACATCCGCGGCGTCGTAAGCGTAGGCGCGTAGAAAGTACGTGGCGGAAGGCACGTCGCGCTCGATGGTCCACTCGAAGCTCTGGTTCGAGCTGCTGTAGGGCCTAGCAACAACCTTGAACTGGCATGTCTTGTCCTTGGAGAGGCTGTCCACCGTCTTCCTCCACCCGCGGTCCACCTGGCTCACCGGCGCGTAGCAGAATTTCAGCTTGATGGTCTTGTAGGTTGAGTCTGATCCAGCTGGGAAGCTCTGGTTCAGACCCCACGAGACGGTGAGTTTGTCTACCCCTGCTTTGTAAACTGCAGAAATTTCATGAATTTTGATTAGTTTTGCATCAATCTGGTAAAGAAAATGAAAAATTAAAGAAACCCAGTTGAAGAGTTAGGATTTTGAACAAGAAAGTTGGAGACTTTGCGTGAATTACAATGAAAAGTAAAGGAAACCCAGTTTTAAAAACAAGATTTTGGGCTAGAAAGTTGGAAAATTTTAATGGGAAATGTTTCTATATATATACCCTGTCCTTCTTTGGGTGAAGCAGTGACTATGAGAGTTTGTTTCAGAGACGAAAAGAGGACACCATGGGAGGTTTCTGCTAAGCAAGAGAGGAGAAGAAGAGAAGCCAAAAGAATCCCAGTAGATGCCATCTGAGACTGAGACTTCTTAATTGCAAATCACGAAAGCCAGAGAGAGAGAGAGTACAGGATTTGATTCTGAAGGTGATGATATTAACAGGCACCTGGGTTCTCTTTATATACAAGGCACAATGTTGAAAACCAAAATATTAGACGTATGCAGAAAAGGTCAAAAGGCCCAAAGTGTATGCTGGCTTATGTGAGATTAGCGATCGAAAACATGCAGATATTTCTGAAAAACCGTGTAATTATACGATGAGAATGGCAAAATGGCCCTAAAGTACACTGAAGGGGTAAGATTTATGACCCTTATGTGTTTGGGGTTTTGTTTATGGATTGACTTTGAGCAGTTTCAATTTTTTAATGCAGTTCAAGTTGTGGTGGACAAGACAAGATGGAGATATGGATGGTATGGTGGCGCGAAGTTCATTCTCTTTTTGTCCTTTAATGTCCTGTGAAGGGCAAACAAACGAGACACCAAGTAATTGGGATGCAATCAAGCTTTACGATTCTTTTTTATTTTTTTTATTTTTATGAATCTATCTAAATTCAAACTTCATACTGAACAGAGCTGTCAAATGGGAGAGGAGGCGTGTGTCCAATCTCCAACTCCATCATATTCAAAACAAGTATTTTACACTAGAACTGTGCAAGCAAGTTATACACAATTGTTGAGAAGAGTCAACGAAGTAGCTCTCTAAATAGAAAGTCGACGCAAAATGCTTCACAATTGCCCAAAGTAAAGTAGGAAAAAAAATATCTTCGATCAAGCTACACTACTATAGCGTTTTCATATAAAAGGATTGGAAATTGCTCTCAAATACCAATATTACGGTAGCAAAGTTCTCAAATGACATTATTCATTTCTGCAGTAAATAGTTTCATTATATAGATTGCATTATTTTGACAGCAAACAGTTCAAATAGTGTCAATATGATAATGCTATTTGAAGAGTATAGTAAAGTAATGGTGATGTTCAAGGGCATCTCCATAAAAGATGAACATATATTAGGGATTGAGCCTTGAGGGTTGAGGCCTACAGCCCAAATCAAGCAGGTGCTTATGTATTGGTACTACCCATGAGTGAGTTTCATGGGCTAAAACATTCAAAGCCCCATGAATAATTAACTATTAAATATCATGTATCATGTATCAAAAGCGAAGTGAAGACAAATATAGATGTACACTCACTCAGAAATACACAGAGCAAAAGACAGCGACCGAAAAAATGCCGGCCAAATTTCCTCTTTTCCTAGGTTCTCTCTCCCTCTCTCTCTCTCCGTATTCAATCCACGTTTTATTTACAGTCCACATACATACACCCAAGAGACGAGAGAAGTCTTGGGAGACTGAGAACGTACGTAGCCATGGAGAAGAGAGTATTCAGCAGAGAAAGCAGAAGCGGCCCCATGCTAACCATGCAGCACAACAAGCAGCCGCAGCCACTTACGGCAGAGGTTCAACGTCGTAACAAACCCCAGCAAGTAGCCGACCTCACTGACTTCATGAACGACATGTTTTTCGGCACCGTAAAAGCCGAGACCAAGTCCTATAACTTGACCGGAGACGACGTAGACGACGTAAACTACGAGGACGACTGCGACAGCCCAAGACCCACATCCGCCACTACTACTAACAGCAAAATGACTCAGGAGTGGCTAGAAGAGGCCCGGCGCATTGTTGCCTCGTCCCCAACTCGGTGTGACTCACCCTCTCGACTCGCTGCTGGCTCACCGCGCTTCGCAGCTCCCCCGCAGGCGCCAAGATTGTCATTTTCTTCCGCCCTTGATCGCCGGGACCCACTCTCTAGGTCCGCCAGAAGGTATAATAACATGCCCAATTCAATTAACTAGATTTAATCAAATGTGAAATCCCGAAATTGCCCATCGTACAGGAACCGAGCGGCGGAGAGTTTTAGTGGCGAGATCCTATCCAAGTCAGCCAGCAAGCACACCAGAAACAAATCTGACGTGTTGTTGTTGGAGGGGCCTACTTCGCCAACATCGCCAGCAGAATCATCGCCTGCATCGGCAGTCCACAAATGGTTTTCCAACATCCTCAAGCCCAACTCCAATCCCTCTACGGCCCAGCAGCCCAATCCCGAGGCCACGGCTCAAACTGTCTCTCCCCGCCAGCCTGTCAACCGTAGGTCGCGGTTCCAAAATGACCCCTCCTCACCTCGCCCACAGGGGATTCCAATTCCTTCTCGGCGGAGTTTCCAAAGCCCGACACTTTTGCCGGATGCCCAGCCGCTGTCTCCGCCCAAAAACCTTGTCCCGTCAGCCCATCGTCGGTCCATATCGTCGTCCACTTGCTCCAATGGGAAGGGTGAGCCGAAGGCCAGTGTAATTGGGTGGCCCAAAGATGAAGCCCAAGTCCAAACCCCAAACCAAGACCTTGATCTTAATAGGTTTCTCAAAGAGCAAAGGACGAAGTTTGAGAAAGTCTTGGATGGTCAAGTTAATGCCAAGGCTAAAATAGTACTTTCCGACCCTTCCAATAGTAAGTACGCCTTGTCATATTCGTGGACATTAGTGAACCGCATAATGTGACATGTGATGTGTTAATTATCAATAAGTGAATCTTACTTGTGAAGCGCATAAAATGGTTCACTAGGGTTTAGTTCACAAATTGATTATCACAATTCTTTATAAAAACAAGTAATGTGTAAGCCATATTCTATTGGAAATGTAGGCACAAGTACAATGGCAGCAGCAATATGTTATGCATGGTTACTTGAGAACAGGGTGAGGAAGGAAAACAAGAGCAAAGGGAATGGGGAGGAGGAGTATGTGGTGGTTCCTGTGATGAATGTGAAGAGAGGGAGGATGTGGAAGCAAAGAGAGGCTGCTTGGCTATTTCACCATGTTGGCCTTGATGCCACTTCATTGCTCTTTGCTGATGAGGTACTTCAAATCCCATATGCTTTCTCTGCAATGCTATAGCTGGTAACAAATATTTTGCGTAGTGTTTTGGGGTTCCTGTCTATATTTTATCATCCTTCGGCATTGTTGCCAAATGCTATAAGTTGGTTGGTTTTGTTGATGCAATCTGGTGTTAGGTGGACTTGGAGAGTCTCATGATGGCTGGGAAATTAAACATCCTTGTCATCGGGCAAGACGTTTTGACGAATAATGGGGAGGTAATTGGTGCAGATATGCAGTAAATTTTGGAAGTACAAGAACAGTTATAACAAGTATGCATAGACATAACTTAGCTGATTGAAGTGTGTTGTTTACCTGTCTTTTATAGGTTGGATCACAGTGCACCATTCTTACAGATAATTACTGTGAAGATGCCTATGATCTACTTGAAAACCCTTTGCTCAAGAAACTTTTGGTAACTTACATAGCTCTTTCAGGAAAAATAAAAAAGAACAAGCAGCATTCTTTTTCCTTGTTTGATTAGGATTTTGAGTGACTTCCTGCGTTGCAGCTTGCAGGTATATTGTTAGACACTCAAAATTTGAAAGCATCTCCTCAATTGTCTATGACAAGAGATGCAGAGGCAGTCCAGTTGCTATTAGTTGGCTTACCCTCCAATTACAGGAATGCCCTTTTCGATCAACGTACGTGCTTCTTTTTTAGTCTCTTGATCTTCAATGACATTGTATTTCTTGTATACGTCTAGTAAATTGTAACAATCCATTTTTTTCGGTTCTCTATCAGTGACACAAGATCAAAGAGACAATTCCTTTCTTGAAGCTTTGCGGCAAAGTTATGGGAAGCCTCCTAATGAAAGTAAGTTACTAAGCATGAAAAATGAGCATTGTCATTGAAACCCCTTGGTTGTTGTTCTATTGCTCTGTTGGCTTTTAGAACCATGAAAGTTGTTAATGACTTTCTCAATGGTTTCAGATTAGGGTTATGATCCTTGACAGCCTTTAACACTTCTTGTGATGATTTCAGGTGGTGGTGATAACAGAGGACATGATGAGCAGAAGGTTTCAGAAAGGAAATCAACCTCTATTTCTCGCCACGAAGCCATCATCCAAAATCCAGACAAGAATTCTAATGATGCAAGAAATGCAAAAAAGGCTTCACCAAAATCAGGTTAGACTGCACTACATTCCCTTCGGCTTTTTACACATTCACTTATTTATTACTCTTATAAAGTTTTAAACTCTTACTTTTCCCTTGTTGCCTAAAGCTTTGACATCTTTTCCCTTGTAGCTAAACCGAGTTCTCCAGCTGTCCAAGCCCCTTCACCTGATGCCTCCCGCGGAAAGAATAAGTTCTTCCTGGCAAAGTGGTTTGGTTTTAAATGAGGACAAAAATCTGTGGCATTTTGTTCATTGTAAATTCATATAGAAGAACCTAAGAAAAAACTGAAACCGTCTTTTAGATATCTGCCAGTTTCATCAGACGGGCGAGATTGGTTCCGGTAAACTATTTCTGTTTGTGCTTGGAAGAGGAAAGATTTGAAACTACGACACATAATTTAGTAAGAAGAGGGAATGTAAAATGCCTTTGTGGCCTCTTGTATTATTACTTTTGTCTCAGACAATAATGGTTCAAGTTGCAAAAAGTTTTAGCTTTTGCTTATATGACAGTGTTTTTGAGATGTCATTGTTGTTCTTGTACATGATGATGATGCTGACATGCATTTTGAGTATCTTATTTTCTACGACCAAATTTCTTTGTTTGTGTCCCTTCACAAGAACTGTCTGCCTGCTGTAAATGTGTGGTAAAAGTGGATGCTGATGTTGAGTTCAATCCATACTGTCATTTAAAAATCTCCAGGTAAAAGCTAAAATTTATTTGCTGTCATTCTTGGTTTGTGATAATGCCATTTGAAAGTTTTGAATATGCTCCTTCATATGCTAATCCAAAGCAATGAAATGATAAGCTCTTGGATATAAAGCAGAAAATTCATTATGAACTGCAACAGAAGGACCTGAGTTGGCAGTCAAATTGGAATAACCTGAATAGTTGAAGCCATCCAATCAAATCTTTTTCCAAAAGTGGAAAGAAAGTTTTTGCCTTTCAACCTTATTTTTCCTCTTCAATCTAATTTTCCATTTTTTCCCCTTTCATAGTTGAGGTCAAAAACCATGAAAAGTAAGGACACAGAAAATTGAAAATTTATGCACAAACGGCTGAAATTCGCTAAACTTCATAGTAGTAAAGTGAAAATTGCCCAATTATATATTCATATGCGGTGCACATAGTCTTGCATTAGTGATTCAATCATCATCAACAGCTCCTCCTCTCTGTCACATGCAACAACATTTTATGCCAGATACAAACATTCAGTACCCTTT